CTTGCACTGGCTCATCCATGTGAAGTGGCCCGATTTGAGATGCTCTGAGAAGTAGGATTACACTTGGCTCTGTCCTTGCACCGTGGACAGAAAGCAAGTAGGGCCTCCTGCTTTCCTTCGTGTTTTATCTTAAAGGCATAACCAGTATTTTTGGCCAAGTTCATAGAGTTAGTTTCAAAGAAAACACAAACAGACTCAGTGTAGATAAGCATGTTTAGCTGACCTCTGCTCCAAGTTTCAAAAATCGTTTGGCAACTAAAAAAATGAAGTTATTTGTAGATAATTAAATTAGATAACATTTTTGGCCATAACATCTCTTCTTGATTTTTCAGCCCCAGTAAGTTTCCCATCCATTCATTCAGCAAATCCTTAGTTAGTGTCTACTGTGTGCAAGCTTTGGGCATGCAGTAGTGGGCAGGCCAGGCAAGGTCCACACTCTTCTGGGGCTGACTTCTCTCTCTCTCTCTCTCTCTCTTTAAATTTTCAGAGTGGGAGGACGAGGGAGAAAGAGATAGAAACAGAAATGATGAGAGAGCATCATTGATTGGTCACCTCCTGCGCACCCCACACTGGGGATGAAACCTGCAACCAGGGCATTTGTCCCAAGTTGGGAATCAAACCATGACCTCCTAGTTCATAGGTCGATGCTTAACCACTGAGCCACACCGGCCAGGCTTGACTTCTCTTTACCGAGGACCCTGGCCTCCCTGTAGTCTGGCCACCCGACCTCCAAAGCTCTCACTTCCTCTCCTGCTCTCTAACCATGTCATCCTCAAGTATTGTGAACATGGGTTCTAGAATGTCTCTTCCCTTCATACACCTTTACTTCTATTTGACTTATTTAACTTCTCATTTCTCCTCACTGTCCTCTGAGTGACGTTTTCTGTTCTGTAGAGACATTTTTTTGTCACTCCTCCACCCGAGAGAGATGTCCTGTAGGGTTCGTTATCTTCTGAGCTGATGGATTTCCAGCCGGCATTATGTGGTAATCACCAGAAATGCCAGAAGCCCCAGCCCAACGAGGAGCTCCTACCTCAGCAAGAGTTCAAGTGCTATATTTTTATTTTACCTTTTTATTGATTTCAGAGAGAAAGGGAGAGAGAGAGAGAGAGAGAGAGAGAGAGACAAACATCAGTGATCAGAGAGAACCATGGATCAGCTGCCTCCTGCATGTCCCCTACTGGGGATCGAGCCCACAACCCGGGCATGTGCCCTGACCAGGAATCAAACAGTGACCTCCTGGTTCCTAGGTCAACACTCAACCAGTGAGCCAAATTGGCCCGGCAAGTGCTGTATTTTTAGTACTTCACAAAAATGTTGCTTCAAACAGTGATCAGCTTGGTGCCCAGATGGGTTTATTTCTTCATTCCCAAGGTCAGATTTAATGGTGTTCATCTGAGAAAGTGGCTCAGCAGGCTTCCCTCACCCTGTTTGGTTCTGTATCCATGAGGTCAGAGACTAATGACTCAGAAGAACCTACATGAGTTAGAGTGTCTTCCTGCAGACGACTCGCAGCTGGCGTTGAAAATAGGGTTTAGACATTTCACAATAATAGCAGGTGGGAAAACACAGCTGGGCCGTGATGCCACGTCCATCACTGACACTTCCCTAAATAGAGAGAAATGAATGCAAGCATTTTCCTTAACAATATTTTTAAAATAGCTTTAATTTTTTTATATCGATAAAAAGTACAGTCCCTTAGAAAGTACAAGCGATGGGAAAAGGGAAGTTTGAGTAACTGATGAAAAAAAGGAGTGAATAAATCCGTCTACTTCCAAGAGAATACCAAGCAGAGAGACTGAGGAGCTGTTAACTGAGTTGACAATTTTTCAGGTGCCAGAAAGGCCTAGAGTTCAGCCAAAGAAATGAAGATGAGAGATGGGCTGCAAGTTGCATGTGGGAGTCAAACTGTCCAGAAAGTGACTGAGTTACAGGCACACCCCCCACCATACCCTCCCCCTCCCCCCCGCGACAGATTCATTCTTGCAAAGGCTCAGATTTTTTTAAAGAGCAGTAATGTGTGGGTTTTTGGAAAAATATATGTTTTTATTTATTTTTAGAGAGAGAGGAAAGGAGAGTGATAGAAACATCAATACTCAGAGAGAATCATGGATCGGCTGCCTCCTGCACGCCCCCTACTGGGGATGAGCTGCAACCCGGGCATGTGCCCTGAGCAGGAACTGAACCTGTGACCTCCTGATTCATGGGTCGACGGTCCACCACTGGGCCACGCCGGCTGGGCTGTGGGTTTTTTAAATGCATGTATCTCTCTATTTCAATCCTTTCTAATTTTTTCTCCATCCGGATACTGTTGAAGTGCTGCAATACTTAGACAGTTAACACAGCAGGAAGGTATTGTGCTCACCGTGTCAGTCATGGGTTTTGCACCCAACCCAGCACCTTTCTGAGGCTGTATCAGGGAGGCCGCAGCCTCTGTTACACTGAACGACAAGAACAAAAAGCCTTCAGTTAGCAGTAACTATGAGGGCCTGTGTCCGATTTGAAATTTAGAGCCGGGTCAGGAATCGGGGAGGAAGAGAAGAAAAGGGACAAATGGGTACCCCGTGTCAGCAAGATGAGCTCAGAAGCTAAACAGGGAGACATGACAGATGCTGCAGGCTGCCGGCCCCTCCTCAGTTATCCCCGGGCGTTCCTGCTTCTCCAGTGTGCTGCAGGAGAAAATCCTAGCCCAGGCACTTCTGCTAAACCTAAGGTTCAGGCAGCTGAACTGAGCTGTCAGTTTCAATCAAGAAGGTCGGGAAACGCTAGGTGGCTCAGTGATTGAGCGTTGATCTATGAACCAGGAGGTCATGGTTCAATTCCCGGTCCCAGGCACATGCTCGATCCCCAGTGCGGGGCGTGCAGGAGGCAGCCGATCAATGATTCTCTCTCATCATTGATGTTGCTCTCTCTCCCTCTCCCTTCCTCTCAGAAATCAATAAAAAAAGATATATATTAAAAAAAAAAGGTGGGTAAACGAACACTAGGTGTGTCAGCCAGTGCTCTTGGTCATAGGCAACCGTGTCTACCTCTTACCATCAAAACAACGGACTTGATTGGCAGTGACTCACAGCGGGAAGGCAGGTGGTGGTCCAGACGTGGATGGCTGGAAACCAGGAGGTCAGGAAGGCCAGCAGGCAGAGAGACAGCTGTATTTTTTAGTAGCTGCTGCCGCTGGACAGCGCTGTTGGCTCCAGACTCAAGAGTCCCGAGAACAGCATCCAACTGGCCAAGCCGAGGCATCCCAGGCCGGCCGCCAGCAGATGGGGAACGGTCCACCGGGGCTTGGACAGTGGGAAAGATCATCTCCCTGCTACCGTGAGGGCCGGGTGCTGGCTTCCCCCACATGGCACTTCCGGTGTGTGGGGGCCAGAAAGGTGACTCGAGCGGATGCCAGAGGCAGCGGCAGGGGCCTGTGGCCGTGCGACAGGAGAGGTTTTCATTTTGATGAGGTACAACTTACCGGTTTTATATTTGTCGTTTTGCTTTTGGCGTCCTACAGAAGAAGGCTTTGCCTAACCCAGGGATGGGGAATGTTTGGCCCGCGGGTCAGATAAGGCCCGAGAAGTTATTTGGTTTGGCCCTGCCAAGGCAACTGCAGGAGGGACTCAAAATTCAATAAATCTAGGAGCTGTTTTCCTAGCAACATAAATTTATAGTAAGGGAATTATATTAAGCAAATGATGTTATAAATATCCAAATGGCCCTTGGCAGAGAAAAGGTTCCCCACCCCTGGCCTAACCCAGGGTCACTGAGATCTCCTTTAGAATCTTCTACTAGTTCTATAACTTTAGTCCTCATGTTCAGGGCTGGGATTCATTTTGCATTGGTTTTTAACTCTTTTGAAGCAGCAACCATGGATGTCCAGTGGCAGCTCGTGAAGAAAAAGTGAATAATGAAGATTTCCTTATTTTCTCAGTTTGAACGGCATTAGGGGCCCACCCTCAACTTCTGAATTCTTTCCGTGTCTATTTCCCTTTCAATGTGTTTGGCTATTGGGTATTGAAGTTACTATGGCTCTCAACACATCCTGATTCATTGCTCACATGTGGTGCACAGGGCATTATTCAGAGCAGCGACTCCTACATAATCACCGTAAGCTATTCATTTAACTCTTTAATCAGAACGATAAAGTTTAGCTATTCATTTATTCACTGAATTATAGATGTTATAATGAATATAAATTAACAAGTATTTATATTTGATTGGACAAATTCACCTGTCCTGCCTGGAATCATATTTTAGGAGTGAGCAAACTTTTATATAGCAATTATTATAACAACATAAAAAAAAATCTTTCCCAGCTGGTGTGGCTCAGTGATAGAGTGTCAAGCTATGAAGCAGAAGATCATAGTTTGATTCCCAGTCAGGACACATCCCTGGGTGGCAGGCTCGATCCCCAGTGTGGGGCATGCAGGAGGCAGCCGATCCATGATTCTCTCTCATCATTGATGTTTCTTTCTCTCTCCCTCTCCCTTCCTCTCTGAGATCAAGAAAAATATACTTAAAGAAATACTTGCTGGCATGGACTAATTGGAACGAATTATAATATGAAGTAGAATGTGCTTGTTCTGTATCTGCTGGAGAAGTTCTTAGGACTCTAGTGAAGATTTACTCATAGTTGGAGCTTTCGTGGTGTTGACCTTTGGCATGTTGAAGTTGTAGAGGTTATTTTTCGTACCATAGAATCATGCAAGAGGAAGGTGCCTGCCCCGAAGAGTAACATGTTGTACAGAAAGTATGAACAGTGCTGTGTTAAACTTCAGTTTGCCCACCACGGCCAAAATGGTTCTGACGGTATTGGCAGAGCAGTTCTTGTTGACTGCAATGAAGAGATGTGCAACCCATCGCGCAATAATATTCTGTTGTTCCCTTCTCCCCCACCCCACCCCACCCCACCCTAGAACTGTGTGGTTTAGGCATTTTGAGCCCAGGTTCTCATGGTTATCTCAGCTTCATTTGTCTTGCAGATCTAATGTGTTCTTTTCCTGTCTCTGTAGAATGTTTCAGACGTTTAAAGACTGGTTTTGGTTGGAAAGATTCTGGCTCCCTCCAGCAATAAAGTGGTCAGACCTCGAAGATCACGATGGACTCGTCTTTGTAAAACCCTCTCATCTGTACATGACCATCCCATATGCCTTCGGCTTGCTGATTATCCGGCATTTCTTTGAAAAGTAAGTATTGCTTGTGTGTCTTTCCTGCCCATGCCCCTGCCTGGTCCCAGCTGTAGAAGAAGAGAGTCCTGGTAAGATCCTTGAAGAATCTGCTGTTCAGAGGTGCAGATCCTGGGAGGCCGTGCACGAAATCAGTGCACACCAACTGTTATCTAGGAGCTGAACAAGTGAAATGAGAAACAAGTGCTTTAGTTGCACAGTGAGAAAGTGGAGACCGAGAGGTTAAGTATCACAGAGCTTATTAGTGCCAATGACAGCGTGGGAACTCAGCTCCCGTTCCCTGGGCCAGGTCTGTGATAAAGGACACGCACCCCAGAAAGGCAGCGCTAGAGAGCTGTGTGATTAGAGGGTGCGTTATCATTTCCAAATGCCTACAAAATAGCAAATATGGCTCCTTAAAGAGCAAACTTCATCTTGCCTTATTGCAACGTTTATTTTAAAGGTTTATTGAAAGCTTTAATAGCTGGCCTTCCAGGGTATAAGGAAATCAAAGAAAAAAGTAGAAATTTGCTTTGTCAGGAAAAGCAAACTTCTTTTCTTTCTCTTAATTTAAATAGATATTACTTCCAGCCTTCTTATTAAAACTGCACTAGTGTCATGATAACAGGAGATAAATGTCCATTTGTAATCTCTGTAGCTGTCTCTGTTTCAAAAACCTGTTATTAGCACATTATTTTTTTGGAGCAAAAAGAATATTTGAATGTCAAGAGTTGGAAAAACTTAAGACGAAATCTGATGCAGATCATGTTGTCCAGGACTAACCGTAATGCAGATCATATGTGCATAACCATTTGCAGCGTGCATATCTCGAGCGTTAGTTTGACCAGCTCTGTTTCAGGGACCGCCCCAAAGGTTTCCGTACAAACAGCGACTTCGCGTGGGCCCACTATGTGCTTGCTGTTGGGAGGCACCACGAAACCCCAGCTGAGAACATCTGAAAAGGTGCCTCCTTTTTGACAGTGGATTCTGCTTTTTCCTAGATGTTTGGATTTCTCAGGGAATGCACACATAAATAAAGTGGGGTTTCGCCCCTGCCTACCCCATCAGCCAATGACTCTTCCCTGGTCTGAAGCGTCGCTTTTCTTGCCTCACTTGCCTGGTGCTCTCCGCATCTGGCACCCAGGTCCTCTGCCTATTTGCATTGCAGATTTCCTACCTTTTTGGGTGGACAGCTCCATTTTCTATGTTTTGATCGGGACAGAGAACTAGAAAATTCTTTCGGTTGCCAAAGCAGCGCAGCTTGTGGGGGACCAACTTGTTCGTCTTGGTCTTGGCCTTGCCAACAACAATTAGGAAGGAATCCAATCCTCTGTTAATTCCCAGGACCATTCTTGATGCCTCTCAAGGGACCGAGTCAAGTCAGCATCACCTTTATAACTTTAACTCCCAGGAACTCACCCGGAGCTCCTTCCGTTCTGTGACGCTGCAGAGCGCTGAGTGTTGTTCCACTCGCCTCATCGCTCTTCAAGCACTGGCAGTAAGGAAAGGTTAACATGGGAGAGAAAGCATATTTAAAAGCGTATAAATATATATTGATTTCAGAGAGAAAGGGAAAGGAGAGAGATAGAAACATCAATAAGAATCTTTGATCAGCTGCCTCCCACACATCCACTATTGGAGATCAAGCCCACAACCTGGGGCCACTGGGAATTGAACCGTAACCTCCTGGTTCATAGGTCGCTGTTCAACCACTGAGCCACACCAGCTGGATGAAAGCATGCTTTAAAAAATATATATATTTTATTGATTTTTCACAGAGAGGAAGGGAGAGGGATAGAGAGTTAGAAACATCGATGAGAGAGAAACTTCGACCAGCTGCCTCCTGCACACTGCCTACTGGGTATGTGCCTGCAACCAAGGTACATGCCCTTGGCTGGAATCGAACCTGGGACCCTTGAGTCCACAGGACAACGCTCTATCCACTGAGCCAAACTGGTTAGGGCTGAAAGCATGCTTTTTGAAAAATAAGTTAAATTTTTCCCAGGGCTTCTATATTGTTTGTATTAGATTAAACCACTTATAAATAAAATATTACACCTTGAATTTGAATAGAAACTTATAGTTTAAGAGGTACATAAAATCACTAATGGTATCATCTCAGTGGAGAAAATGAGAGGTACGTGACCTGGCCAAGGTGAAACAGGAAGTATGTGAGGAGATTTGGGACTTGAACCCTCTTGTTATAACATGAGGTTTAGGGTTGTTGGTTTTCTATTTTCCCCATAACTTCTTGGACTTTCGCACGGAACTACCCCTGATGGTCAAAGAGAGTAAATTATTATCTCTTAGGAATACAGAAGACATAGTCTCAAGGGATGATCGCAAACGTGAAATTTTCTGAACTCTCTTAAAAATTCATGTAGCCCTAGCTGGTGTGGGTCAGTGGTTAGAGCGTCAGCTGCCAGACTGAAAGGTCCAGGTTCAGTTCTGGTCAAGGGCACATACTTTGGTTGCAGGCTTGATCCCAAGCCCTAGTCAGAGCCTGTGCAGGAGGCAACCAATCGATGTGTCTCTCTCACATTGTTGTTTCTCTCTCTCTCTGTCTCTCCCCCTCCCTTTCACTCTCTCTAAATCGCAATGGGACAGTATCCTCAGGTGCAAATTAACAACAAAAAGAAATTCATGTAAATTGGACACTGTGTTTCAGCATATCCTGTGTTCACCGTGAGGAGGCTTCCTTCTGTTGTCCTAGGAATTGTGACCAGGACTGTGGTTTGGCTGCTGGTTTTTACCCGGTAGTACCAGCCAGGAGCCACTGAACACCAGGAAGTGGCGCCCCTCCCTTTTCTGGCTGTAGAGAGCCAAGTGCAGACAGAGCTGGTAAAGGACAAACAAGTCGATCATTTGAAAGTGACCGACATTTGCCTTGTATTTTAGGATTTCCTTTCCTTGCAAATGTTAGTTTGTGGCTTATGGTTGATTTTGTGTGTGTGTGTGTGTCTGGAATTGCAGTTTCTAACTAGTGTATCCAGACTCTCTGCATTTATGTGTCTCAAGTGTGATGTAAAGGGATCTGAGCTACTCAAATTTAAACACTTGTGGAATAAACATATTATCTCAGAGTAAATTATGCTCCCAGAATAGTCCAAGGCAGGGGTGGAGCTGGGAAAACCAGAGGTCATCGTTTTGCTTTCACTTAGTTGTGCAGTGAATAGATTCCCCACCTTGATCACTTCTACTCGGCAGCACAGGGCACCGTGGGACAGCACGCCCATCATTCCTTAAGGAAGGGTGGGTGCAGCAATCTACAGGAGTTCAGGAAGGATTGCTAGCCCGGCCAGTGTGGCTCAGTGGTTGAGCATCTACCTATGAACCAGGAGGTCAGGGTTGGATTCCTGTCAGGGCACATGCCCAGGTTGCAGGCTTGACCCCAAGTAGGGGGCGTGCAGGAGGCAGCCGATCCATGATTCTCTCTCATCATTGATGTTTCTCTCTCTTTC